GTCCCTACCCAAACCTACGCCCATGTTTAGATCACAGAAAGCCTCGCACCGCTGCGCCTAACAAGTTAGATCGCGCCCTGGCTTCGGCCAGGTGTTAAGACTGGCACCCTCTTTTGGGGGAAGACTAACCTGTGACGATTCTCAGCACGCACATCTTCTGCCGATGTCCAAGCGCCAAAACTTTGGGGCCAATAAAACTTTCTAACTGCTGCTTTTGTCTGTGTGAGTCTCTACAGATTGAAATGAAGCCTAGGTATAAATTCAAGCTGTGAGACTCTCTTCAGCCTACCAGCATCATAAATTACCATGCCTCCGCCTCAGCCAACAGCACCGGGTTGCCGCTCCGCCCCAGCCAATCACCATGCAAGAGCTCCTTCAAAAGGCCAAACAATCATGGATCCACCAGCTTCAGCCGTGCTTCGACCCACCTCATCCCCGTCTCCACTCTCATCCTCCAGGGCATCTTCCAGGCTCCTTCATCTCCAGGCTCTGCTCCACCACCAGTGTTTGGGCCCCGGGGAAAGACTAACCTAAGCTTCGCCCCGAGCCGATCATCCAAGTTCGTGGCGATTCTCAGCACGCCCGTCTTCTGCCGGTGTCTGTGCGCCAAAACTTTAGGGCCAATAAAACTTTCTAACTGCTGCTTTTCTCTGTGTGAGTCTCTGCAGATTAAATTATGCTTTTCAAAAACCTTACTTTAATGGCTCTATTTAGGTGAAGAATGTGTGCTTGTGCTATCTGTGGATGTTTCATATTTTTGATTCTGCTTGAGTTGAGGTTTGATAGTAGAAAAGTACTTGCTCAAGGAAAAACCTCAAAGCCTATGTAAAGCATTCTGTACAATGACAGCATGAATGTCCCACAGTACCAGCTATCCTACCATATCCAACATAGACTAAACACTAATTTTATTTATTTATTTATTTTTTTTTTTTTAAAAGAAATTTCTCATTTTTCAGGAATAGTTGTCTACATCTTGGTTGGAATCTCACTTAGTTTCTAATGTGTCTTAAATGTATTGTGTTTTATTTTGTTTATTGAATGATTTGGGATTTTTTTTTTCTAAATTTAAACCTTTTAATTGCCTCTGATGACCTGAACATAATCTCTTCATTTTTAGAAATTATGATGGAATTAAAAGATTTTCCCAAAATTGTTTTAAAGAGAGTGAAGAAGTAAAATTTTAATATTTGCATTAAACAGGTTGGTTACTCTTAATGTTAAAAGGCAACTTGGATTTGGAAGTCACTGCATACTTTTCCTTTTTAATAGTTTCACTCATTAACTATAACATCCTGTTGACTGATTTCGGCCTTCTAACTGGGGCTTTCTACTGAGAAATATCTCCACACTCTAAAAACTACACATTTCTAGAAACAAAATATAAAGTAGTTAAAACTCTAACATCTGAGAATTTTTGATATAAGGTAAAATTATGTTTCCATGAACAATTCTATGCAAGTATGTAAACATTTAAGCATGTATTTCTCATTAAGATTAAAAAAATCTTTCTTTCAAAGAAAGACCTTGGCAAGACTGGCAAAAACACACCAACAATTACAAAATTGTCATAACCATCATACACACTCATTTTGAGAAACATGTTCTTGCAAACAACTGGCTGATTTAGTAGGACAGTTGCATGTCTGCACTTGGAGGAGAGATTATGTACTTATGATTACCTCTTCTGTTTAAAATCACAGCACTTTATGTTTTCTGGAGTACACACTCTTCCAGGACATTGAAATTCCTGGAACAAAGGTTTATTATTAAAACCATCCACTAGGCTGCCACCAAAATAATATTTGAAGTCATTGTTGCACAATGACCTGCACAGAATGGATGATAATTCACAGTGCAGCAGTCTTCATGTATATGGACACATCTGGCGAAGATTATGTAAAAGCCTTAAACTATAACCATAGCATGTGAATGCATGCCTGTATGGGGATGACTGATTTCATGGAAAGTGTCTTTGAGTGTCCAGAAAAGCATTATGTAAGTCTGATGTCATGCCATTACATATCAGTTTAATTGAGACAAAACAGATTTTTTTTTTCTATATTTATCTGGGATAATGTAGTTAAACATACTGAAAATAGTATACCTCTCAAGTAAGCATTGTAATAAAATCAGGACTACTGAAAATACAGTAGTCCTTGGAACTGCACAATTCTTTGCATTTGTATTTATTTGTAAAGTTGTATCTTTAAATTTGAAGTCTGGGGTAGCAGAGATAAAATAAAAAATACCTGCTTTGCAAAGCTATGAAAATGAAATGGCATTGTATTCCTCTTCATAATTTAGGAAATAACTAAGGGAAAACAGCTCCACAAAACCTGGCCACATCAACAGACAGAGCAATAATCTTATATATATAGTGAGGAGGCTCATGAGGCAGGGATATAAAATAATAACTGGGAAAAATTATGTGATCAATAACAAGAGCTGATTTTAATGGCTTTTTAAACAGAGGTGCCAATAAATGTGAAGGGCACTGTGAGCCGATGAGAACCAAAAACCTGAGTAAACCCTTTATTAACTCAAACCTTAACACAGCCAATGACTAACTGTATTAATGTTCTACAGCATGATATGTTTATGGGCGGTAATTTTTCTCTTTTTTATTCTGATTACCAAATAAAATCCTTGGAGTAATGGAGCTTAGAGTAATGTAATTCATAATCTGCTTCCTTTTGTCGTTGTGTTTTGACACATTTTCACAAGTTTTAAATGGGGGTTGGTGGGTGAAGATACGGAGAATGTGTAGCCCACTGTTCCTCAAAAAACATATCGGCCCCGCAGCTTCCCGCACCGTAGGCCGAGCCCCGGACCCCTCCCCCCGAGCCCGGGTCCTTGGCCCCTACAGCCAAGCAGCGAGGCTCTCCTACCTCTGGTAGTCGCTCCTGCAGAACAGTTTGCTGTCCCGGAAGTAGCAGGTGGCAATGAGCGGCTGCTGGCACGCTGCACACTGTAGGCAGTCCTCGTGCCAAGACGCGCCGTTGACTCGCATCAGGAAGCGGTCAGAGATGATGCGCGAACAGCCCTCACACACAGCCTGAGGAGGAGAGTCACACCCTGAGAAACAACCGGAAGGAGACAACGTCAGCCTGCAGGCCACGCTTTATTTTCCACCGTCCTGCCCCTGCTGAGCTTTATGTTCATCACCACAAATCTGGCCATCAGTGAAAACAGGTCAGACACCCCGAGCTTTATTTATGGGACTGTTCTTCGAAGCCTACGCCGACGTTTAGTGTTGCAAGCGAAACGTAAAGGCGGTGTAGGGCACGGTTATTTATTCTTTATTTATATATAGCAACCATTTTCATATGGAGTGACCATGCTGCCATATAAATATGCTCTCCATGTGGAAGCTACCGATATTCAAACTGTTTTTTTTTTTCCTTTTGCCTTCTTCTTCTGCATAGTGAGGTTTATGTTTGTATTCAGGGATCCATTTGGGACGCGCGTCTGCGTGCTTAGTAAAATAGATGCGCGCCTTCAAATGCAAATAATGAAGGTTATATAAAAAAAATAAATTAT